GGGGTTGGGCGGGGGGAGGGGGCAAATTGAGAATATTTAGCGATGGGTACTTCATGTTTTAATTATGCTAAGGTCTTGTTTGATGTGATAATGTAGGGATATTTTTTCTTGAATTCAATAATTGGTTGGCTGGTGTGAGCAGGTGAATTGAAGGAAGCTTGAAAATTATTTGTTGAAATTCTTGAGAGAGATACGAGTTGCAATACTCTATTTGGGTGCATATGTGCAATAGCTGGAAAGATGACTATGGCGTTTAAATTGTTTAAGATGCCCAAAAGGGATATGGTGCCTTGGTAAACCATCGTTATGGAGCATAGCAAAGTTAGGGATATGCACAACTTGTGTTTTCGTTTTTTTTTTCAATCACTCTTTTTTTAAAACAAACCCAAATTTTACAAACAGAAATTTGATGCTTTCAAAAACAACATAAAATAAAAACTGTTGCACCAAGGTGGGGTCTTTAACGAGGTTCATCCATCAAACCCCATTAACACCAAAACCACTAAATTTTGTCAAAACTATAAAAATCCTCTTATCTCCTTCATCTCTCTCTCGTCTGTCTCTTCGTCTCTCTCAATCTTCTCTCTCTCTTGTCTCTGCCAAATGAAGAAACCGAAGGTTAGATCATCCCTCTCTCTCCCTCTCCCTTATCTCTATTTCTCAAGCTCAAATCAAACATCATCTCCCTCTTCGAAGCTCAAATCCAATCTCATCTATTTATGAAAGTTAATTTTTTTAACTTTGTAGTATATATATACATAGATCTATGTATATAGATACATAGATCTACATATATATGTATAGATTTGCATACATAGTGTAATATGTAGCTACGATCTAAGGGTGCATGTGTTTTTGTGTGTATGTTTCTAGGTCTGTGTGTCTTGGAAACCTTTTGTTTTGATTACTTCCTTCAGAATTTGTCAACATGTCTCAAGTAATTTGTTGGGAATTTTCCTTCAGACTCTGATCTTGTTGGGAGCTCGACATACTTCCAGAGTACAAACCATGCAAGGTTAATGATGATTAATGAGCACCTAAAGGTGTATATGTTGGGAAATTAGCATAATCATATATAATTTTAATTAATAAATTCATATCAATATCACATAAACAAACACAAAATAACAATGAACTTAAAATAGAATAACATAGATACTACAAATTATAAAGAGCTGGTCTGCGAGTTCGAGAGCTATGTGAACACTGTCCTAAAGCAGCTGAGCCTCCCCGCGTGAAGATACTGACGGACACCCGCGATTCTAAGATCAAACCCAGATGCTCGCAGTAGCACTTCCTCAATGGTAACGCCCATTGGAAGGAAGGGTGAACTTGACTCGAATCGAAGTTACCTGAAGTAAACTAATACCAAATATTTGTAGGTATAAAAATGTAATAATAGACAAAAAGAAATATGTAGAAAGAATAACAATACTTGGTGGAAGAGGAGCATATAGAAAAGATGGTCAAACTATCCATCTTTTAGCCACCTTGTTTTATATGCACCATCTTAATTATTCTTGAATAATAGGCTTTAAAATATATTAGTATGTAACTTCCAAACTATTAAGCCTATATCAATTTTATAATTAAATGACATGAACATGCAAGAATTAAATTTCAATTGTAAAGTTAAAAACTAAAAAATTAATACAAAATAAGCAGTTATATAGTTTTTAAAAATTTTATTTTAATTTATTCTAACAATCCCCCACAAGTTTTGAAAACTTCAAAATGACCTAAATATATTTATATAAAAGTAATAGACAGAAAATATGGGCAGCTATTATACTGTGCAATGGGTGTAGGTGTCTTCTAGACTTGAACCTCACTTAGTGTTAACAGTCTCCCCCTGAAGGATCATAGTGACCAAAGGCTTGAACTAGACCCTTTGAACCAGAGTTCAACTATCACAGACAGTACCGACATTGGTCAGGATTCGCGGGTCAGTACTATTAATGGTCTTACACTTGATCTTGATTCTCATGAGAGTTTCTAGAGAATAGCCCAATTCTCATAGTCGCGGCCTCACGACTACTCTTACTTAGGTGAACCCTCCAAGGGTACATGTGCACAATACCTTGCAGGAGTGTTCCTGTCTCGGTCTCATTTAGGATAAAATTCTTCCTTACCGTCACACTACAGATGCACCTCTGTCATAGGGATGAGCATGAAAATATCTCCTCTTAGGATATTTTCTCAATAACGGTGCTAATGAGTCACGTAATATGGATTGTTTCTACCCATTGAACTTCTTTCATGGGGTTTTCAATCACAGAAGTTGGGTTACCTCCCTAGGTGACTCCTTTGCGGGCTTAGGCCCATCCCCCTTGACAATTCTTGAGCCACAGATTTTCTCAAAAGTTTGGCTTTTCTCAAAAGCTTATTGATGAAATNTATTTGAGGGTGCAAATTGAGATTTTTTATCTTTGAAGTGCACATTGATATAAATTTCTATTTTTGAAGGTGCAAATTGAAATTTTTGATCTTTGAGGATACACATTGATACAAATTTCTATCTTTGAGGATGCAAATTGAGATTTTTGATCTTTAAAGATGTAAATTGAAATTTGAACAATCTTTTAAGGTGCAAAATCAGATTAACCCAAAAATTAAATGGGGGTGAAAATAAAGATTTGTAGAATGAGAATAACCCTGCCCTTAGATTTTGATTAATTTGAATCCAAATAAACTTCGAGCAAATCAAAACCAAATCGAAACCGTAGTAAATTTGAACACTTCAACCAGAGTGCATGTAGCAGGCCCTACAACATTATTCGGACTTGTGACGGAACAAAACAGTGGAGATATTCTTTGGTTAAATGAAGGCAAACATTGTCAAATACTTAAGATCCGTACAGAAAAAAGGCCACTCAATCTCAACCCAACAAAGACTATCTCATGCTACTTACCCAAAAAATATGGGAATATATTCCATGGTTGGGTCTCCTCTTTCCTTGATCATCTGTTGTAAAGATACTAGGTTCTGGTGATTATACAGTAAGACCCTGTGGGGGAGCAACCACAGGTGTCTTGGGCTTGGGCTTCTCGACAACAATGGCCTGTGTGGTAAGGACCATTCCTGCAACTGAGGCAGCATTCTGCAATGCACATCTCGTCACTTTGGCTGGGTCGATAACTCCAGCTTCCACCAGGTTCTCATACTTGTCTGTCATGGCATTGTAACCGATTTCCCAGTCACTATCCTTCAACCTCTCAACGACCACCTCTCCTTCAATCCCAGCATTTTGGGCTATCAAAGATGTTGGAGCCACCAGTGCCTACAAGCAAAAAATACATGTCAGCAAGTACACCCAACAAAACATTGTTACCAAATGCAGGAGCAAGAATCCATTTAGGTAAAGAACGAGCTATGTAGATCAAGCCCTCGGTTCCCATTTCTGTGAGTAAACAATCAGGTTTCCATATATCCGAGAACGAGAATAAGAACTTGATTCTCGTGACTTCTTTTTCTTTCTCCACAGTACAACTTGGCTTTGTTAATAGCTAACAATATTTCTTCATAACACAATATTTCTTCCGATTCTTCCCATAAGTACCAAGGACGACAACTCGGTCAATCCATAAGGCAAAGCCTGGTCAGGGCAGAGGCAAACCCATAAACACCTCCGAAACAAAAATGAAAAGCAAGCTTAAACAATTCCCTGATCCCAACAAAGGAAACTGGTTTAGCAAACAGAAACTCAACCAAACATGTACTCTTAAACAGGTCCGCCCACAAGATCTCGAGGGTGGCCAACTATTTTTAGACAATAAATATAACAGTCTGATTTAGTGATATTTTCCTTTATCACTACTAAATTCACGCCTCAAATAAGATTAAGATCTAATATATGCATGCATACACATGTTTTTCTCTCAACTATTACTAACGGAGGATTTTATTTTATTAATTATTAAATGGTAAGAGTTCTCCAATAGTCTAGAATGGAATAAAGTTGGTACCTCGTAAAATTATTAACTCCTAGAATTACTATATTAGGAAATATTCATTGTTACAGAGTTAACTATATCTAATATCCTGCCAAAAGAGAGTGTCCACACTGCATGCCACAACTGCATTTGGTTTATCACTAATGCTATTGGGACATAATTTACGGATATAATGAATTGTGACCAATGGATGATAGTAGAATGCCTTTAATGATGGGATCCATCACAGCATTAAATGCATTCCACTATCACTATATTGATTACAAATTACAATTCATTACGTCATAAAATTATATCCCTAAATTATGTCCCAATAAAATTGCTCTTGCTTTATATCACCATGAATAAGATGAATTTTCCCCTAAATGACTACAAAAAAGGACAAAATAAAAGAGGTGAAAAAAAGAAAAAAAGGGGGGGAGTGGGGGGGATGAAGGAATAAAATCAGCAAAGAAATGACTGAACAAATAAATATATTAAACAAACAGTTGGTGGAGAAAGATGGTGCAGTCTTTACCTTCTGCACAATGTCAGCGCCTAACCGCTCATCTGCATCTTCAAGCTTGTCCTTAATAGCAGGAACATGAGTTGAAAGGTGAACCAATGCAGCACCACCACCAGGAACAATCCCTTCCTCTATGGCAGCAAAAGTTGCATTCTTGGCATCTTCAATTCGAAGCTTACGGTCCTCAAGCTCAGTTTCGGTTGCAGCCCCTACCTTTATAACAGCAACACCGCCAGACAATTTGGCAATTCGCTCAGCTAGCTTCTCAGAGTCATAAACAGAATCTGTCTCTGACAATTCCTTTTTAATCTGTGCAATCCTAGCCTGAATCTCATCCTTTGTTGCAGCATCAGCAATGATGGTTGTGGAACCCTTGGTGACGGTCACTTTTCTGGCCAAACCAAGCTGCTCAACTGAGGTATTTTCAATAAGCATTCCCAAATCACTGGCTTGGTACTCGGCTCCTGAATGATGGAAACAGGCAGCAACAAAGGAACATAGTAAGCCGTACTAAATCCTGAAGTTGTTTAGATATATTTTGTGCAATAATTAGTAGTCAATCCATGTGTTCGTCAAATTTTGTTCATTGGGTGAAACAGTTGGTCAAGGTATTGCATTTGCACAAGCGAACATATGAAAATTTCCATTGCGTGGAAGTAGACACCAATAAAAGTGGGACTCGTACTTCACTCCAATATGGTTTGGGCGCCTGACAAATGAACTTTCCGCAACAGTGAAAGGCAACACTTCCCCACTTATCCCTTTGTTATCTACATCGAAACCTTCAGGCTTCCGCAAAAATCACGGTCCAAATATTGAAAGTCAATATATTTAGAAACATGACATGTCAATAGCATTTATTCCCCCCTATAGGTTGGTTATGAGGAGGAAGCAAGTTTCCAAGTAAATTAGCAAGAATTTATATACCTGTCAATATGGCAATATCTTGAAGGAGAGCCTTTCTCCTCTCACCAAAACCAGGTGCTTTGATAGCAGCAACATTCAGAATACCGCGCAGCTTATTCACCACAAGAGTAGCCAAAGCCTCCCCAGTGATATCTTCAGCAATAATGAGAAGAGGGGCTCGCAATTGAGTGGTCTTCTCCAGCAAGGGAATTATGTCTTTTATTGCTGATATCTTCTGATCTGTGACCAACACCCTTGCATTCTCAAATTCAACAATTAATTTCTCAGGATTGGTGACGAATTGGGGAGAGATATATCCTCTATCAATCTGCAAGTCAAGAGAAGTATCAAATCAGTCAAGTTAGACCACATTAGGAACAGTCACAAACAAAGACAAGGGATGACAGGAGGAAGACAAGGAGCCCAAACTCCACAATGAATACAGACCTCCATTCCTTCTTCCACATCAACAGTTGTCTCAAAGGAGGAGGATGACTCAATGGAGAGAACACCATCAGGTCCGACTTTGTCGATTGCATCAGCAATCATGGTACCAATAATTTCATCATTCCCAGCAGAGATGGTAGCAATGGCTGGAAGGCAACACGGCAATTTATCAGCACAAAAGTAGTTATCCAGTTGTTCACATGAACTAATTTATATATGGAGTGAGAAATAACAAGATAAACACCAGAGAAACACACTACCTTTAATATCATCGCCACCTTTGACAGGCCTGGATTTCTTCTCAAGCTCTTCAACCAAAGCCTGCACGGTTTTCTCAATCCCTTTCTTTATGGAAACTGGATTTGCACCCGAGGTAACATTCAGTAGACCAAATTTGATAATTTCACGAGCAAGAATTGATGCAGTTGTTGTCCCATCACCAGCAGAATCATTGGTTTTGCTTGCAACCTTTGTCAAACATTCAACAAGTCAGCTTTAAAAGAATAAGAAAAAGAAACTCAAAATCCGAAAGTACAAGTAGGATATAAAATGAAGAAATCTTAGGGAAGATACAGAATGTGCAAATGACCAACCTCCCTGATGAGAGCAGCACCAGCATTTTCCATAGCATCTGGTAACTCTATTGCTCGAGCAATTGTGACACCATCATTAACCACCTTTGGAGTCCCAAACTCATCCAGAACCACATTCCTTCCTGCAAACAAGCAAAACACAAATCAGTATCCTTAATGATTTATGCATTAGTGCATTATACAAGCGGCCTGATCATATCTCTAAAGTTGCCATTGGTAACACAAGCTCAAGTTATTCTAAATTCTTGCGCAAAAAAGCTCAAAATTAACAATCCATAATTAAAACTTTCTAACACAACTAAAATGACATAGTAGCATGAGAATCAAACGTTCTCAAGCCATCCCAGCTAGCATCAGTGTTAATAGAATATAGCACCATAAGACACCTTAATCTTCCACAAGGGAGTGAGAATAGAAGAAAAACTGCATATACCATAGACATTTTTCACAACCAACCATGTTGGCAATTAATAGTATGTGGTATAGTTCTTTAAAATGGTTTGTAAGAACAAGCTCAATGGGCATCTGGCAAGCAAATCGAAGCTTTTACCACATGTTATAATACTTGACAGATTTTCCTAAGAGGAACATAAGCAACAAACTGATAAACTATGAACTGCCAATAATAATAGGCCCTACTTACCGGGTAAAAACACACTAGTAAGCACAGCTTTCTTTGTAGGTATATCAAATTTGAACAGATACAGTAGAAAATAAGAAACTTGAATCATATTAAAGAAAACAATAACAGCAATGAAAAAAAAATATTAAAAGGAAGGAGAATAGAACCTCTAGGGCCAAGAGTAAGACCAACAGCATCGGCAAGCTTGTCAATACCAGCTTGAAGTGCCGCCCTGGAGTTCTGGTCAAAGGCAATTTCCTTCGCAGCAGCTCTCACTACAAATCGGCTGCTTGATGGCCTGTAATTCACCTTCTGCAGCTGGTTCACCTTCCTTCTCCTCAAATCCCCCTGAATCCCTCACATCAACCCTCAAAAGAATCATCACACACAAATATATACACACACACATACATAAAAGATCATTGTAATGAAAAACCCCAATGTAAAAACTATCAAAGAAATGGCATAATCAAAAGCAGTAGAACGTACTTGTCTGGGAGAAGAGAGGATTGAAGCGGTAGAGAGAGCATTTGCCGATGCCATTTTTCTTCTATCAGGAAATAGAACCTTCAAGAATGGAGTTTGGAGGGATTAGGGTTTTTGCGGGGGTCTGAAGGTTTTGTATGCCCTGCGTGGATAAGGTGTTGGTGTATAGTCAGTAATGTATATGGTAGAAGTGTGCGTTTGGTAATTAGGGTTGTTCTAGGAGGGTATATAAGCATCGAGGAACTTCCAGAAGATTCCTCCACTTCCACACACAGAGAGAGAGAGAGGCCGGCCCCTTCCGTTTAGCTTTTGGGCCTGTTTATTATAACCCTAATTCTAATCTTATCTTGAGTTGATTAGCATTGTCTGAGTTTAATTCGAACGGATTCAATTTGAATTTGAATTAATGATTTCAGACTATTTTACGGAGTGATTTCAAGTTATTTCTATCAAGTTTTTAACATAAAAATCATAATATTAAAAATTCAATGGGAGAGATAATGCAATTACAACCATACAGAACACAAATAAACACAATCAAAATCTTTGTACAACTAGAGACAAAGATGAAGAAGGCTGAGAGATGGTTGAGGGTTGAGACTCTGACATAGGAGGTTGAGAGAGGGAGGAGGCGCAGGGGAGAGGGGTCTAAGAGTGAAAGATAAGTTTAAGAGTGAGAGTAAGAGACTGAGAGTGAGTGACGGTCTAAGGGAGGCATAGACTTTAGTTGAAATTAACCCTAGGATAAAATTGTATGTATATAGTATTAAATCGGGTTGAACCTAATTATTAAATTGGGTTGAGCCCGATTTTAATATTCAAGTTCAACCCATGAACTCGATGGCACAACCCGATGCCCGCCCAAAATGAATTCAGGTTAAGGTTTTTTGACCCAAACTCAACTCAATTATTAAAAATTCTAACTCAAGTCCTAATTTTTTTGGGTTGGGCTTGGGTTAAAATTGGGTTAGCCCCACCCAAGTTACACACCTACTATTTGATATGTTTTTTTGAATGGCTTGGGCTTGATTTGTCCAAATTCGGGTTTGATCCAAAGATAAAATTCAACATTCAATATTGTCTATACCCATGATTGGTATACATAGAGATATATGATCATTATAATAATATATTTGTATTTAAATAACTATTGTGCCCCTTAACTAATTTGTATATATAAGGTATATAGGATATAAGGGGGTATAATTGTTATTTGTATGTTAAACTTATTAACCCACATATGAAACCCACCCTTCTTGGGTTTCATGAAACCCAAGTATGTAGATTTCATGATCGGGCCCATGACCAGACCGAATTTCAAACCTTAGATTAAATGTATAATTGTCAAACATGAGTTTAAGGGGGTTTAATCCCCAACCCATGATCCAAAACTCCCTCAAACCCACATACCAAACATGCCCTTGGTGTGTTGGAGGCGTTTCTGGTAGGCCAGTCATTGTGTTGAATGAATTTGTGTTAAAAAATATTTTATTTATATTTAATTTATTTATAATTTTTATTAATAAATTATGTCATATTAAGTTTGTCGTGTTAAACCATGGTGTAATATTTGAGAAAATCAATACAAACGAAGGGAGAAATAAGGCAATTGTGTGCACTCGTGCTTTAGCTGAGATGTATGCTCTTTCCTTCTATGGTATATAAGCATTGAGGAACTTCCAAAAGATTCTTCTAGTGGGTGTTGATGGGT